ATACTTCGCTGCATTACACAGCAGCCCGTATCCACTTACATTTGGGGGTATACCCCTCTGTTTTTTATAATCTCTCTCCTTCTCGGGCATTATCTATTCCGGATTTTGCCTTCCTTGTTTCGTCATTACCGCCAACCGATTCTGTTACTTGGTGATTTTAATGCCCACCATTTCCTCTGGGAGGTCTCACTGTGATTCCCGTGGGAAATTTAGTTAGAGGCTTTTTTTTTTGCCACCCACCCCCTCCATGTTTTAAATACAGGTACTCACACCCATTTTGATCCTCGGACTCATACCCTCTTGCATCGATCTCTCAGTTTGCTCTTCCTTCCGCCGCAAATTTGACTTTACTTGGTCTGTTCTCCCGGACTTACATGACAGTGATCATTTCCCAATCATTCTTACTTCCCCTTCATATTCGCCACCTCTTCGCACCCCACGCTGGCAATTTAATCGGGCAAATTGGAACCTTTCCTCACACCTGACTGTTTTTAAAGAGGTTCCTTCTTCGTCCTCCATCGATGAGCTTTTACACCTCTTCTCGTCCTCCGTTTTCACCGCAGCTTCTCATTCTATACCCCAAACTTCGGGCAGGCATTCTCAGAAATGCGTGCCTTGGTGGTCTCCTGCTTGTGCTCGTGCAGTACGTTTGAAACGCGCTGCATGGGGCAGGTACCGGTACCTGATTTTAAACAGAAGCGTGCGATCGCTCGCCGTGTCATCCGTGACGCTAAACGCACTTGCTGGCGAGATTATTCCTCACCATCACCTCTGCTTCCTCTATGAGTGCAGTCTGGAAAAAAGTACGAAAACTGAGTGGTAAATATTCTCCTGACCCGGCTCCTGTTCTGAGGGTTGCCGGTGTTGATATAGCAAACCCACTAGATGTTGCCAATGAAATTGGCAATCATCTGGTCCGTATTTCTCAGGGACTCCATCTATGCCCCCATTTCTTTCCTCAAAGTCTGCCAAGAGTTAGCACCCTTGGACTTTTCTTCTCTCAGAGAAGAACAGTATAATGTGCCTTTTAAAACTTCAAGAACTGGAGGCAACACTCTCAGCTTGTCGATCATCGGCAGCTGGGCCCGACGACATTCATATTCGTATGCTAAAAACATTTACATCAGTCAGCCCTTGCAGTCCTATTACGCCTTTACAATCTTATTTGGTCACAAGGAGTTCTTCCACAGCTGTAGAAATCCGCCATTGTTCTCCCTTTCCCCCGCAAACCAGGCACTACGGGACATGAAACCTCCCACTAACGTCCCATTGCTCTTAAACCCGTGCAGTTTGCAAAGTAATGGAACGTCTAGTAAATAGACGTTAGTGTGGGATTTAGAGACACACAACAGTCTCTCCACTCGTCAATATGGCTTTCGTAAGGACGTTCTAAACCCTAGACCCCCTTACTGCGCTTGGATACGTATGTTCGTAATGCCTTTGCGAATAACCACTCAGTTATTTGCCATATTTTTTGACCTTTAGAAGGCATATTTACACAACTTGGAGGTATAATATTTAGCCCAAGCCCACTCCTTAGGCCTTCGAGGCAATCTTAACCATCCTCCTTAAGAACTTTTTAACTGACAGGCATTTCCGTGTTTTGGGTTAATAATGGCTCTCCCCCGGACTTTTCCAAGCTGAATGTGTCCCCCAGGGATGTGTTTTGAGCACAAAAACTTTTTCTCCTTGCTATTAATGATTTTGGGCCCCTAGTCCTTCCATCAAATATTTTTGGGCATCACTCTATGTTGATGACTTCGCTATTGCCTGTGCAGGCGCTGACTGTCCCTCCTTACAGTTCTCCCCCAGCATGCAGTCGACCGTGTTTCCAATTGGGCCACCACACAGGGTTTAAAAATTTTTCCAGCCACTAAAACCCACCAAATCACTTTCACTAGACGCTCTGGGCCCTCTCTGATCATCCTTTTGTACCTCTATTGCTCACGTATCCCTGAACGTGATACAGTCAAGTTTCTGGGCCTCCTCTTTGATCGTAGGTTATCCTGGAAACCTCACATTACCTCTCTGAAGGCAACTTTTGACAGCCGGCTGAAAACCCTTTTTAAAACCCTTGCTCACTTTCGTGGGGAGCTGATCGTCGAACCCTCCTTCAAACCCACATTCCACCCTTTTTTTAATCGAAACTTGATTATGGTGACCAGATCTATTCAGCGGCATCTCCTGCTACTCTCTCTAGCCTTAACCCCATTCATCACCAAGGATTAAAGTTTATGCCTTGGTGCTTTTTCGCTCTTCCCCTGTCGAAAGCCTCTATGCAGAAGCGAACGTTCCATCCTTATCCGATCGCCGTGATGGGCCCCTTGCCTTTCGCTACTATGTACGCTCTCATGATCTCCGCAATCCTTCCATTTATAGAATGGTCACTGATATTAGTAGACATTCTTTATTTGTTCGCCGCCCCTGCTTAACCTCCGTCCCTTCCTCTTTTTTCGCCTTCATTCGCTCTTGTCTTCTCTTCAACTACCACCTTTCTATGTACATGTAGCATCTCACTTTTCCCTACCCCCCTGGGAAGTTCCAGCGTTCAGTCTGTTCTTTCTTCTCCCTCCCTTGCTCGAAAGCCCAACTGTCTACGGTCGGGTTCCCGCTCTCTTTTTCTTGACCACTTCACTCTCATTTTCATGCCATTGCTGTGTACACAGATGGCTCTAAGTCTTCTGACGGCGTAGGGTTCGCAGCAGTGTTTCCGGACAGCGTCGTACAAGGCATTTACTATCTTCAGCTAGTATTTTTACTGCTGAATTATATGCCATCCTTACAGCACTTATCCGTATTGCATCTATGCCTGTGTCATCATTTGTGGTTGTCTCAGACTCCCTTAGTGCTTTACAGGGTATACAAAAATTTGATACACCTCACCCCTTGTCCTCCGTATCCAACTTTGGCTACGCCGCATCTTTACTAAGCATAAAGATATTGTTTTTTTTGTTGGGTCCCTGTCATGTTGACGTACAGGCAATGAACAGGGAGACACTGCTGCGCGGTCAGCGTACATGACCTACCAGTTTCTTATAGAGGTATTCCATGTACGGACTATTTTGCTGTAAATCTTCCCACCTTCACACCCGTTGGCAACAACGTTGGTCTACTATGCTTTGGCAACAAACTTCAGTCTATAAAACCGAGTATAGGTTACTGGCCGTCTTCTTATCACCAGTGTCAGGTTGGGAGACTAACTCTCTCTCCCGTCTTCGCATTGGCCATACTCGCTTACTCAATGGATATCTCATGGAGAGGCGTCTTGCTCCTCTCTGTGAGAATGCCAAGCTCCATTATCAGTCACCACATTCGTTGGGCTGCCCACTTTATCAACGAGCACGCAGAATTACCTCTGTCCGTCGTCTTCCGCCCCGCTGCTCTCTCTTAACCTTCCCTTCTCGCTGATGGACCCACCTTTTTCCCAAACCGGACTCTCTCATTGACTTTTTGACAACGACTGACTTACTTCACAAATTCTGATACTTTCAGCCCTTTCTACTTGTATCTCTTGCTACCCTCTACCCCCGTACTATCCCCTGCCCCGCTGTTTTCTGTAACCTGCTGATCATCCCCCCTCCCTTCTGCCATCCAATTCCCTTGCTTCCTTCCCTACCCTGCAGCGCTGTATAGCCCTTGTGGCTTAGCGCTTCTTTTTGATTATAATAATAATAATAATACTTTTCTTCATTCATATGTCATCCATCCCTTATGATTGAGTGCCCATTGCAGCCATTTTTTCTTCATAGCAGCAGTCAATATTGTTTTTTTACTGGGTTTTCTGGCGGTTCTGCCAACTTCAAGGAACCTTCATGAAACAGTTGAAGAATCAACATTTATGCCAACTGAAGCTGGTAGATCTTTGCTGGTTTTCTTGGGATCCTTCACACTATTTCTTATGATAACCTTGTTGTCCTGAGGTATTGTCTTGTGTTTTCTTCTACATCTTCCTCGACGCAGCACTCCACAATCGCCTGTGTTGTCAGCTTTCTTCAGAATTCGACTGACAGTTGACCTTGCTAGGCTCAACTTTTCTGCGATCTGTCTGATATTCAAATCGGCATGTTTTCTAAAAGCTACAATACTTGCACGATTCCTGGGTGTAGGTGTTGTTATTGATCAATACCACTTGTTCGTGGTTACAATAATATACGTATAAATACTGCTCGTGAGGCTAGTACACCAAACAGGGATGAGAATGAATTTTGCTTAGAAGCTCCCACACCTCCGTATGCCCTCGGATGGCGGCCCAACAGCTAGCATTGCTGGCTGCGCCATTCTTGTAGGGTTGGGTGGTCCTGTGATTTAAAGCGTCATGTGGTTCTCGCTTACCATGAGGCAGGCCAGTACAACATGGGTTCGAATCCTTGGCTAGCGCAGTGTTGTTAATGATCAGTACCACTCGTTCGTGGTTACAATAATATATATATAATATATATATATATATTATATATATATATATATATATATATATATATATATATATATATATATATATATATATATATATATAATATATATATATATATATATATATATATATATATATATATATATAGTATATTATTAGGTGTCCCGTAGCTCGATCGCTAGTGCACTCAGTTCACACATTGAGATCCTGAGTTCGAGTCTCTGGTACAGCTGGAAAACATTAGGGATGTGTTTCCATAAGACATCTGTTGTCCATGTTCACCCATCAGTGTAAAATGGGTACCTGGGTGTTAGTCATCTGGTGTGGGTTGCACCCTGGGAAAAAACTGACCTAATTTGTGGGAAATACTCACCATAACAAGTGGCTTTCTATATAGTGGTATGTCATTGATGTCAGCTTGGCCTGTGTACCTTGTACATGTACTGGTAGAAATATAGATATTATAATTTTATCATTGTACACAATAAAGGTAACAGATACTTCTGTGATGGCATAAATGGCAAGAGAAGATGTTGCTCAATTTAATCATATAATGTCAGTCTAATTTATATTTATGATTGTGCAAGAGATTGTTGTGAATCATTTTTTCTTGTATTTTAATAGCATTTGTATTGTTTGTTTATTAAACTGTGGTATGTTTATGCCAACAATTTTATTTTGAGTGACAGTGGAAACTATAAACTGTTTTTCTTGTGTTTGCATTTGTGACTAGAGAACAGTCAAGACTGGAGGTGGGGAAGCAAGACATAGATCATAACATCCTCCCCCACCTCCCTCAAAACTTTCTCTCTCAATGACTGTCTCCTTACCTCCACCACCACCATTCACTGTTTCCATCGCACAAGGAACTCTCTCCAGTCATCTAACTCAAAGATCGTCACTTCGCCTTGTACTGAAATCTGTCCGCCACCGTGTCCTGAGGCCAGTCTTATCCATCATCACTTTGCATGAAGACTCCAGCATCATCTCATCTGGTGCCTGTAGCTCATGTCAGTGCTCCAAGACCCAACTCAAAACCCAACCCAGGACCCAACTCTCTGTATTGGACCCCTCAACATAGCATTGAACAACAAGTGACATCCATATTGCCAGGGTTTGAATGTGTGTGTGGGGGGGGGGAGCACCTCACCTCCCAATCATCACCATTTCTTACCCTACCCAGTGCCCCATCACCTACATGATCATTAGATACTGCCTGTGGTGCTTCGGGACCACAGGGCAGGACACTGAGTGTTAGTTCCTGCACTGTGTTAAAGTGGTGCTGAGTGGTGTATATTACCTTAGTGGTGGTGGTGGTGAAGGCGTCAACAAGCAGCAGGAGGAACGTGCTCTCTCGCAGCAGGAAACTCACCAAGATGTCTTCCACCTGGTACATTGGTCAGTAGCCTTCCTGAACATTTTCTGGCGTTGCTGCACCTCTCTACTGCACACACTCACCTCTGCTCTAAAATCAAGAGGGAAAGATATATCTACTAACTTGTGTACGGTTATTCAGTAGCCCTCACTACTTGTCATATATACCTACATGTATTGCTATATATATGCACACATTTCTATGTGCACTCAACAGTATGAGCCTTCACACCTGTTTATACTAAGATGCTATAGACTAGTGGTCATGTATACTAACTTTTGTATTTTTATACTAACTAGAAACACATGTACACATTAGTTATGCCATATTTTCTGGCATATAAGGCACATCCCAATTTTGGCAGGCATGTTCTGAGAAAAAAAATGCAGTACTTGCTTCAAAATGATAGTAAGACAGTAGCTGAAAGGAAGGGACCTTTTGCAGCCTATTGTATTTTCCACCAACAACCAAAGCAAACAGGGCTACCTGTTGTTTACAGATGGCTACTTTACAATTATTTACAACTGCTGAAACTGATTTGCTTATTATGTACTGGAAATATATAAATTTTAGCTTATAATAATTACTATTTGCTCTAATCTGGGAAATGGTTTTGTAGGGTGGTTGTTTGGAGTTAAGTTTACCAGCACCACAGCACAGACATCACCACCTGCCAGCAGCATAAAGCCTATCCTTGTTCCTCGCCTTGAATATATAAGACACAGGCTGAGATTTTAAATCACCCCTTTTTTTTTGGGGGGAGGGGAGTATGCCATATATGCCAAAAAATATAGTAATGTATATACATGGTGGTCTGTAGAAAAAAATTTTCAGGATAATAATGCTTGCAGTAGTGCCTCTCCCCCCCCTTCCCCTCCCCCCCCCCCCCTCTCTCTCTCTCCTCTCTTTTTTTTTTTTTTTTTTTTTTTTTTTTTTTTTTTTTTTTTTTTTTTTTTTTTACACAGGGTTTGACAAGGTTAAGGATCCCTAGCTTTATTGACAAGCTATTTACAGGTTAAGGATTCCTAACTTTATTGGCAAGCTAAGAGCTGTTACCTACATCAGCTCATTTGAAAGCATTTTTATTGTTATGAGACATACAAGTAGGGAACAGGATGAAGTTGGATCCATCTGTGGGCCAGCATTTTCATTTGATCAACTGACTTTATCTCGTTGACATCATTATGCTGTACGAATGTGTTCCATACTCAAGTCATCCTGGGTATATAGGATCTCAGATGGAGTGAAGTTCTGGAGAAGGGTACAGCCAGAGTGAAGTTGCTGCTTTCTGCCCGTCTTGTGGCATAAAAGCTTGTTTCATGCTGTCCTCGAAGTGGATCCAAGTGTGGTACTTTGACAATATTGGCCTTGTACATAACAGTAAGGCCACCCACATCCCTCCTATGTTGAAGGCTCTGCTGAAATGACAGATCTATCCAGGATGGGTCCAGGCGAGAGATGAGATGTCTTGCTCTGTTCTCTACTCTGTCAAGCAGTCGCAGATGAGAGGGGGGGCAGGAAAACCAAGAAAGTGGAGCATACTCAAGGTGCTAGCATACTTGTGCCTCGTACAGAATCTTGCAACCTCTACTGTCAAGTAGATGCGAGATATGGCGAAGTGCTGTAAGCTTCCTGGCTGCCTTGTTTGCAAGATTTACAACATGGTTCTTCATGGTTAGTTTGGAGTCAAATTTCACCCCAAGGATATCAACTTCTTCTCCAGGTGCCAACACCCTCCCATTCATCCTTACTACTGCACCAGCATTACCATCATGGTGCCTAGAGACGGTCATCATTTGCATTTTCTCAGGTGCAAATGTTACTTGCCATCTATTTCCCCAAGCTGATATAGCTCTCAGCTGGTGATAGATGTAGCTTAGAGCAGCTGGCATTTCTTCTCTTGGATAAGTGAATGTCAGTGTGCAGTCGTCTGCATATGCATGTGATTCTGGGATGAGATGAAGAAGGTCATTGAAGTAGACATTCCATAACAATGGTCCCAGCACACTTCCTTGTGGAACACTTGCCCAAATAGGATGTCTTGCTGATTCCATTCCATTGAGAACTACACTTAGAGATCTACCATGAAGGTAATCACTGAGGAGACATAGCGTAGAGCCTGCAATTCCCAGTGCTTGAAGTTTTGCTAAGAGGCCCTGGTGCCACACCTGGTCGAAAGCACCAGCAATGTCCAGTGCTTCCACACAGCTGACTTTGGATTCATCCAGTGACTGGTGCCACTTAGTGGAGAGGTTTAACAACAGATCAGCAACAGAGTAACCTTTCCTGAAGCCATATTGACGATCACAAAGTAGTGAGTGATAGTCAAAAAACTCTGTCATTTGTCTTGAGATTATTGTCTCAAGGATCTTTCCAGTGATTGACAGGAGTGACACTGGTCTGTAGTTGCTGATTTCTGCTTTGCTCTTCTTTTTGTAAACAGGGACTACATTTGCCTCTTTCCATAGAGAGGGCCATTTACACTGTACTAGGCAGTGCTGAAAGATGCGAGTTAGAGGTGCTGCTAGCTGGTCTGCACATCTTCTCAGCAATCTTGGGCTCAACTTGTCTGGGCCCACAGCCTTTTCTTGGTCAAGCGATTTAAGAAGGAAATGCACCTCCTCCTGCCTTATTGTCTCTCTCTCTCTCTCTCTCTCTCTCTCTCTCTCTCTCTCTCTCCTCTCTCCTTCTCTACTCTCTCTCTCTCTCTCTCTCTCTCTCATCTCTCTCTCTCCTCTCTCTGCTTCTCTCTCTCTCTGTCTCTCTCTCTCTCTCTCTGCTCTCTCTTCTCTCTGTCCTGCTCTCTCTGTCTCTGTCTGTCTGTCTTCTCTGTCTGTCCTTCTGTCTCTCTCTTCTGTCTCTCTCTCTGTCTGTCTGTCTCTCTCTCTGTCTTCTGCTCTCTCTGTCTTCTGTCTCGTCTGTCTGTCTCTCTGTCTGTCCTCTGTCTCTGTCTCTCTGTCTCTGTCTGCTCTGCTCTCTGTCTCTGTCTGTCTGTCTCTTCTCTGTCTGTCCTCTCTGTCCTGTCTGTCTCTCTGTCTCTGTCTCTCTGTCTCTGTCTCTGTCTCTCTCTGTCTCTGTCTCTCTTCTCTCTTCTCTTCTCTTCTGCTCTCTTCTCTTCTCTCTCTGTCTCTGCTTCTCTCGTCTCTCTCTCTCTCTCTCTCTCTCTCTCTCTCTTCTCTTCTCTCTCTCTCTCTCTCTCCTCATTTGAAACTGGTAATATCTTCAGTAACTACTTCCCCACTAAGTGCACCAATACCCCAGCACTCCATTTACTACTAGGTGACCAAGATAACATGTTTAGGAACTTGACCATATCTCTTACCCACTCTGAGCTGGTTGAGACTATGGCTTATAACCATTACACTGCTGTATCTTTACCAAGAAACTGAAGTAGTCTATCACCAGAGACTAAGTCATGCCAAAGAAAAAATGCACTACAGTTGCCATCACTAACGCTCATGGGACCTGTAGGGTGCCAATTAGTGATTTTGCGGATTACAAAGTGATTAGTTTAGATAAAACAACTAATCTAATGGCATATTTACCTCATCGTGGATGTGGTCGCCCAGTGTACCTATTTTTGGCCTATTCCTGTATTCCAGTCCAACCAAACTACATGTCATATTCCTAGTATTCCAAACTATTCGTCGATTGATTACAAGAAACACCAATTTACCTATTTCAGCTACCCATAAAGTGGTCAGAAATTAATAATTTGGCCAATTTCACACAAATTTCAGGAGATGCCAGTTTCAAAATAGTGTCCAGTATAAACAATGCAGACATTCCTGGCACTAAAAAAACATTTTCTCTGTTCATTTGTCACTTCTCCAGACTCCTCTTATATTACACTTGCTTTCCATTTTGAATTTTTATTCACAAAAAAAATAGATTTACTGTTATGCAGACTACTGCACTATTGTAATAATTGTATAAATAATGTCAACCCATTCGTGACCGCGTATTAGACCGGCCAGTTGGACACGTATTGGACAATGATGTGATTTATTTACTCTTGAGCATTGGCAAAAATTGAACATTTCTGCTAGTTTGAGCTCAATTTCAAGGTACTTTCCATCCTGAAACCAATGAAAATCATCTCTGTTTCTGTAATATATCTTATATTCTGTAAAATGTCACCTAAAAAAAAACAAGAATATAACCATAAAAACCATATGAAAATACTCCACTAAGGTGCTGTCTTAGGCCAAAAATGCAGTCACATGATTTATTTACTTTTGAACTTTGGCAAAATTTGAAGATTTCTGCTACTCTGAGCTCAATTTCAAGGTGCTTTTCATTTTTGTAAAACCAATCAATATCATCTCAATTTCTGTAATATGTCTTCCATTCTATAAAATGAGACCAGGAAAACTAGAATACCATCATAAATACCATACGAAAATACAGTCCAAAGTTGCTGTTTTAAACCAAAACCACGTGTCAAAGTTTTTTTTTCTCATTACGCACTGTGTGCTGCAGGATTTTTTTTATACTACACACACTGACAACATAGACCCATTCTTTCGTATGTAGGCCTACCAGCTTTCTCTCATTAGATTTGAGGGCACTAGAATTTAGGCGTACTTGTACATCAAAAACCCTGGTGCGTAAGCCGTACTAGTACAGTGGGCCCCCGCATAACGCTATTAATCCGTTCCTGAGAGCTCAATGTTATGCAAAATTATCGTTATGCGAATTAATTTTCCCCATAAGAAATAATGGAAATCAAATTAATTCGTGCAAGACACCTAAAAGTATGATAAAAAAAAATTTTTACCACATGAAATATTAATTTTAATACACACAAACTTAAGAAAACATGCACAGTTACATGACACTTACCTTTATTGAAGATGTGGTGATGAATGATGGGATGGGAGGAGGGGAGACTGGATGGTTTTAGTGTTTAGAAGGGGAATCCCCTTCCATTAGGACTTGAGGTGTCAAGTCCTTTTCCGGGGTTGCTTCCCTTCTTCTTTTAATGCCACTAGGACCAGCTTCAGAGTCACTGGAGTTCTGT